CATGAAGTCTTCTTAGGGAATGACGTTTTGCATGTAGATCATAAAAATGGTAGATAAGAATTACTCATAGCATTTCATTATGAATCAGTTTTCCCTCATGGCATCTACAGTGATGTTCCCCCTGTCATTTATGATGAAAGAACTTTGTGGGTATTCTGTTCTGTTCTATGTTTTTCTACCTCATTAGAGGTTTGTAAGAGTACGGGTTTTCCGCCCGCCGCCGAGTCTTGTCCTGCCGCCGCGCCAGCCCCAAATAACACACAGAGACTCTGTATTAGATATTATACTGTTGGCCAGTTACTACTTTTTTATCGGCTAGCTCTGTCTTAAGTATTAACCCATTTGTGTTAATCTATGTATTTCCACGTGGTCTTCTTACCAGGAGCCGGCTGCTGCATACTGCTCTCTCCAGACCCTCCATCTTGGCTCCTCCTTACTACTTCCTATTTCCTCCTTGTCTCTCCTATCTTCCTTTCCTATTGGCCAACGGTGCATTATTATTAACCAGTATGAGAAACATATACAGAATGACATTTCCCATCAGAGGTTTATCATTATCTTTTGTCTTTTAAGACACCTTTTTGTATGTAATTGATTTTGTCTATAAATTTTCTATTGTCATTTCATTGATTTCTGGTCTAATGTTAATTTTTTATGTGCTTACCTTTGATTCAATCTGATTTTCCTTCTCTAGCTTCCTGAGTGTAATCCTACATCGGTGATTCAAGCCCTTCTATGTTCAATGTTGTACATTTCCCTCTGAGCATTTGTTTTACTAAGCCCTTCAATTTTGCAAAATCTATTTTATTTTAGTTTATTTTTGCTTTTGTATGTTTTTTACATGATGTTTTTATTATTTGAGAATTTCATACAATGCATTTTGATTATATTTATCCAGAAACTTTTCCAAGGTATTACCTTCCTTTCCCCCTTTGTCCTAATTGAGTCCAGTTTGTGTTGCTCAATTAATTACTCTTGGTTATGGGACCTGGGGTATAGTATGGTCAATATGCCAGGTGTCACACCATTAAAGAAAACTTAGTTGTGCCCAGAAAATGCTACTTGTTTGAAGTCATCTCTGACTCTTACAATCTTTCCAGCTCCCTCTTCATTAAAAAAAAAATCTCTGAGTATTATGGGTAGGGTGTGGTATTTATTTAGAGCTGAATATTCCAAAGTCGTTTATGTTGTCATTGTTCTCTGCACATTAATTAGTTGTGGGTCTATATGTTAACTGTCATCTATTGTTGGAAGCTCCTCAAGTGAGACTATGAGAGTTGAGAAAGAGGCATTCATCTATGAATACAGCACTAAATCATCAGAGATCATTTTAATCATTTAAATGTCTATTTAGTAACTTATTAGAAAATGGTGTAAAAATTGTACAGATACACTGAACTATGAGAATGGCACTATGTTAAAATAGAGATCATTTTAACATTATGCCGATTTAGTGACTAACCTGGCAAAATGGTACAATTGACTGACTTCATGGAACTAACCAAGCACTTTCTTTTTCAAGTAAGGCTTGTTACATGCTAGTAAAAACCATTGTCTGGCACTGTTGATGAGGCCAAGAACATAGCTGTATCAAACAATAGACAATGAGAGAAGCATAATGCTGGAAGACAGGGTGGCACAGGCACCATTGTGGTGGATAAAATTAACTTTCACTTTTTCATTCTAGGTCATGCAGATTCTGGCTGCCTTAATGATCCTTAGCCTAGGAATAATAACAATAATTATCTCAGATTCATTTAATAAATCAGAAAACATTGCATTTGGAAGTACATACCCATGTTGGGGGCCTGTGTTGGTGAGTGAATACTTTCTGAAGTAAACAGAAATGACATCATTATTACTGTCTTCAGCTTAGAACCCTGCCTTTATTTTACCCTGTATTTTGCCATCTAATTTTTGGCTCAGTTTTGTCATAGTTAAAATTAAATATCTGTATCAACCTCACACTCAAGACTGAGGAAGCATTGATGAAGGAGGGGTAAAGAGAATATAAGATCTAGAGAATGTGGAGGAGACTGGGAGATGCTGCCATCTGGACAAACATGTCTGTATTTATTATCTAATAACTAGGATACTAGTGCTATTACTTTAATTGCAACTTAAATATATTTCTCACAAGAATAGTTTCTCAATTAGTTCTTTTGCTTATAATACCTTCTTGAATTTTGGTGCCCTGCTAGGGTTACTTCACAACTAGAACTAAGAAAACTTATCATTTGTTGCTCTCAAACAGCTTTTCTATCATTATAATTCAATGACTTTTGAAAAGCTGATAAATTTTTCCAGAGTCTTCTGGTAGAGTCCCTCCATTTAAATTACTGTTATTTAAAACTATAATTCTACTTAATGTACCTATCTAACTTCTGAATCAATTTTCAAATAAACTTTAATGGTTATGTATATGTTCCTCTGGTTTCAGTATATTATTTCAGGAACTTTCTCGATTGTAGCAGGAATAAAAACAACAAAAGGACTGGTGAGTAATAACACCTCATTCTTTTTTTCTATTCAAGCAGAATGACCTCATCCAACATGTATGCTTCTGGGGTAGAAAATAGCTATAGCTCTATTTTAAAGCAGTTTTAAGCAAAATATGTTGATATTTAAGTTTATCCTTACAATCATTCCATATGCATGTCTAATTACATGTAGTGAACTCAATACCATTCTCAGGCAACTAACAGGCTATTGTCTTTACCTAGTTACCCTTTTCAAATATGATGTTAACACTAAAGAATGAGTCTCTTAGCAAACTTAATGTACCCATATTATTAGTCATTGTCATCACACTGCATATCTCTAAAACTTAATTATCCTGTGTAGCCTGCCCTAGCTTGCTTTCTGTTGCTCTGATAAACAGCATGACCAAAAAGCTCACTGTTATGAGTAGTTTTTCTGTATGCCTGGGCCCAGTGCCATGCCAGCCCCAAATAATACACAGACTCCTCTGTATTTGATATAAAGCTGTAGGCCAGTTTAGAGTGTTTCTTATCAGCTAGCTCTGTCCTAAATATTAACCCATTTCTATTAATCTAAGTGTTTCCACATGGTCTCATCTTACTGGAGAGAGGGGCCGCATTGTGCTTTCTCAAGTCTCTACATGCTGACTTCTCCCTACTCCTTCCGGAATTCTCCTTGTCTCCTAATCCCGCCTATCTTGCTTTCTTTTTGGCCAACAGTGCTTTATTCATTAACCAATATGAGAAACAGGTTTACAGAATGACATCTCCCATCAGCTCACCGCACCACTGAAGGCAGTTAATACAGAGACTCAAGGCAGGAACCTGGAGGCACAGACCATGGAAGAATGCTGCCTACTGGCTTGTTCTCCATGGCATAATCAGTCTACTTTCTTACACAACCCTGGGCCACTTGCATAGCGTATCTCACACATCAATCATTAGTTAAGAAAATGTCTTATCAGCTCATCTGAGCTTCTCTGGAAGCTCATGAACTCTGAACTAATAGTTAGGGATCCTGACAATTGTGTAGCTTAGTCTACTTACTTGTAAGGCTCCTGGCAATGAAGTCATGACCTGACCCTGGTGTTTAGCTGGCTTTGTGGAATCTGTTTCCCAAGCTGAATTATCTAGAACAGCCTTGATGCAGAGCAAGGGGCTTGGTCCTGCCTCAGCTTGGTGTGCCTTGCTTTGTTCAAGTTTATGGGAGGCCGTTCTCTTTCTGACTGAAGCAGAGGAGAACTGGATGGGAAAAGGAGTAGATGGCAAATAGTTGGCAAGGGGGAGGTAAAGGTAGAAAAAGAAGGAGGGAAAGGGAGGAGAGGAGGGGAGTGAAAACTGTGGTCAGTATGTAAAATAAATAAAAATGTTAATAAAATAAAATACAGAAAATGCCTCATAAATATGCCCACATTCCAATCTGATGAAGGCAATTCATCAGTCGAACTTCCCTCTTAATGAGCAATTCTGGTTTATATCAAGTTGACAAAAAGCTAACCAGAACAATATCTTAAACCTTTTACCATTGGTTAACATTTCCCATGTCTCTTTCCCCCTTTATTTTAGGTATCAAGCATCCTATTCTTCTATGAATTTAATTTTAAGGCTCTACATATTAGTGTTTTACTTGTTTCATTATGTTCTCAACTCCAAGTTCATTAATGTTTTTAAAGACACCAAGATGCTCCATTTTATCTATACATCTCACGTTAGGCCTGTGTATATGTACATAGGTAGAGATGAATATCATAGATTATTTATTCTTGATCCATCAGTTTAGACTGTTTATTAATGAGTCTTAATAATTCTGTGATGAATATGTGGGTGGAGACAGGTTTATACGTCACTGTTCTCATTTCATATGGAAATATGCCAAGAGGTGAGGAATTGCTGAGTTGTGTCAACTTTCAATTTGGAGGGCCATTAGCTTTCCATAATGGGTAATCCAATACATTCTCACCAACAGTCTAATAGTTGTTTTGGTTGGTTGGTTGGTTGGTTGGTTGGTTGTTGGGGTTTTTTTGTTTGTTTGTTTGTTTGTTTTTGTTTTTTGGTGTTTTTTTTTTGTCTACACACTCAGAACCACATTGCTATCTTTAGTCTTTTTGAAAACAGCCATCCAGCAAGTAGAAACTGACATATGATTTCCTTTTCATTCATAATAATTCATAATAATTCAATCATAATAATTTCATTCATAATAATTCATAATCAACTCTGTGTACCTGTTACACATCTTCTCTGTACAAATGCCTATGTGGTCCCTTTACTCATTTAAATAAAAAACATATTTAGTAGATGTTTATCACTGATATACAATATCTACTATAATGATAATTGAAACAAATGGGGAGGACTGAATATAGCAGGGATGAAGTAGAAGTGATCAGTGGGAAAATGAGGGGATGATGTTATTTTGTGGGGGATATTTTTGATTGTTTCATTTTTATTACTTGTTAGGTCCAAAGCAACACGGGATTGAACATCGCTAGCTCAATAGTGGCTTTGTTTGGAATCATCTTCAGTGTGAACAGGTTGCATGATTTGTCATTTGATTACAATTTCTGCAGATATAATTATATGCCAGACCAATGCTTGCAGAGCATGACCATTTGCCTGGTGAGTATTCTCTTTCCACATATTACGGTGGAAACAAATCTGAGGAACAAGAGCTCTGACCAACTCATCAATCCCTGGAAATATGCCAAAATATGAAGAATCAGATTTATGTCTCATCTCTAATGTTACTACATAAGCAATGAAGCTAAATGGGAAGAAACCTACATTATAGAACATAAGTCCTTAGTAATTACTATATTGGACATTCCACACACTTTGCTTTCATTTCAAAATGCCTCCAAAAGTATTATTATCTTATCTGAGAATAAAGGTTAGTTTTTTTTTTATTTTTTACGTATCAATCCCAGTCCCCTCTCCCTCCCTCCATCCATCCCTCTTTCCCTCCGTCCCTCTAACTCTCCCTCCTTCCCTTTTTCCCTCTCTCCCCTCACATGCACCCTGAACACCCCCACAAACACACTGAGAGTCTCCTGGGAGAAGAGCTCCAACAGGAATAGTTATGGAAGGCTAAAATACTTAATTATCTTCATCATTAAAGACTCTATGGCTTTTACTCAGGATAACAATGTTCCTCTTATCTTCTATGTAAGGTGACCTTCCAGACTATTGGCCTGGTGCTCGGTTTTTCCCTTCCTTGTCGTCTTCCTTCACCTAACTGTGGAAACTCAAAAACGTTCATACAGTTTTAATAGCCAGATGAGTGGTATGGCCTTTCTTCCATCCCTAGCTCATCCTACATAAATCTTGAGCTTTGTCTCCAAACCAATGTAATATCTGGAGTTAGTCTTTGCTAAACTAATAAACTCTTCTTGAGGTTTTTTAGTAATTAGTACAACAATCATACTATTTCTCATGACTTAGTCAACATAAGAAAAGAAAGCTTCCCTCAGATAATTAAATAGTTTTTCTCCACTATCACACTATTAGAAGTTGGTATGAGCATCTTCTGGAAGACTAGACTTCACAGCCTCCTCCAGTCCCTTTGATATTCACTGTTGTAGCTCTGTGTAGTTATCCTGGGAACCAGCTGCAAGTTCATCTTCTGAAGTATTTTCCTGTATAGAGCTTAATAGAGACAAATACATAGCATAGATCTAGTTCACAGGTCTGAATTCACAGGTCCAGAACCTGTGCATTGCATTGAGGCTCCATATTTAGAAGACTCTGGCATTTGACTCAATGTTCTTCTATTACTCTCTTGAATTTATGAGTATATATTGAGCAAGAGGTCCTCCAAATTATCTGTGTTCATCTCAAGAAATCACCCTCTCTCCAAGAGGAAGCACGAATTCCCATTGATTGTGTGGACATTCTTTTTGTCTCAGTTCTTGTACCAATGCATGCTATACAAGGCTCTCCTGGGGAGCTAAGAACTAGACCAGTTCCTATCTTTGTATCCTCATGACAGAATTACAGGTCTGGGAATCTATTGTAAGCTAATTGAAAACCCAGAAGACACAAAACTAAGAAGAGTGCTGTATCTTTAGGGAGTTCCAGAAAATATTTTTCTAAGTGAAATTTGATTAAAAAAGAAGCTCACTTATTCATTTACATATAGAGCAATGCATCCTTGTTGTCAAAGCAGAATTGAGTGTCCTTTACAGAGATATTATAGGCTGTGAAACCTCAAAGGAAGTAATTCTAACTTTCAAAGGTAAGATCCTTGGGGTCAAGGAAGTCTTCTATTTCCTTCCCTCCATCTACTTCTACAGCAGTAGCTGGTAGAGGAGCATTAGTTGTGTTGGAGGTTTTAGTAAAGAAGGAACGCAATCTAGGGGCTCACTGAGTCTGTATCTCTTTTGCACAAAGCTGTTGATACTGAATCTTCCCTAGCAGAGGGAAATTCTCTAACCATGGGGCTCAAACAAAATGTTTAAACTATAGACTCTCAGACATCAACTCTTGAATAACTGTATTGTGTTCTTCCTATATGGCCCTGTATTCTGACAGAAGAGCAGGAGACAGGTGTAAAGATGATTCTCTTGAACCAGAACTAAAGGCCAAGTAACTTGAAGATCACTGTTTCATTCCTTTCCTATCACTGATATAATAAAGAGAGAGAAATACTAGGCTATGCTATCAGAGAAAGAACTAATGACATTGATTCTGAATGTCAATCGGTCAAGAACTGGACAACAGCAGGCTGTAGTTGGCAGCCAATGCCTTTTCTCATCTGGCATTGTAATGCACAGTAAATGCTAGAAACTGTCATTGCTGGTCCTCATGTCCCCCCCTTTTTTTGTAAATATGTTTTTAGGGTATGCAAGTCTTGGTGATCATTTTAAACTTGCTGGAATTCTGCATCACTGTGTCCCTTTCTGCCTTTGGATGCAAAGTGACCTGTTGCAATCCCAGTCGGGTGAGTCTTAGTTTTCATTTGAAGATGGCCCCAGTAGTTTCTTTCATTTTGCAATGGAAGCTCAGAATAACAAAACTTTACTGGCTCTGTTTCAATGGGTCAAGAGTACAGGCACAGCTCAGCTGAGTCCTCTGCCCAGGGTCTTAAAGGGTATCATTTGTGCAGTTGGCTAGGCTGTGACCTTATCTGAAACTTCTGAATCCATTCCAGGCCCATGTGGAAAAATTCATTTTCTCTCTTTTGTTGACTCATGATGATGTACTTCCTCTCTGAGGACACAGGAGAATTGTCTCAAGTTCTTCCGAGCTGTTGTGTAGGGCTCACATGCTTAGGAAAGGTTGATGCAGAATGATGTCCTACATCAACTGATGTGTGAGCCACTGGAAGGAATGATACACATTTTATAAAGGTGGTTACCACTTTGTTTATTTTCTTCTATTTTAAGCCACCCACACTTTCACTATACAGTGCCATCACTCCTTTCATTGTGATAGTTCCCATTCGTAAGCTAGGAATAATGTTTTTCCTTTTCTTTTTTTAAAATTACTTAGTATTTTTTCTTATTTTACATATATATCCCAGTTCCCTATCCCTCCTATCCTCCCATGTCCCCTACTGGCTCCCCAATCCACTCCCTAGGGAGGAACGGGCCTTCCATGAGAGAATATAAAAGTCTGCCACATCATTTGGGATAGGGCCTAGGCCCTCCCCCATGTCTCTAGGCTGAGAGAGTTTCCCTCCATGGGGAATAGGTCCCTGAAGTATATTTGTGCACTAGGGATATGTCCTGGTTCCACTGTCAGAGGTCCCATAGACTTCCCAGGCCTTCTAACTGAGACCCACGTTCAGGAGATCTGGGTTGGTCCTATGCTGGTCTCCCAGCTATCAGTCTGGGGTCCATGAGCTCCCAATTTGTTCAAGTCAGGAGATTCTGTGTGTTTCTCCAGCCTGGTCTTGACACCTTTGCTCATCACTTCTCCCTCTCTGCAACTGAATTCTAGGAGTTTGGCTCAGTGTTCAGCTCTGGGTGTCTGCTTCTGCTTCCATCAGCTACTGGATGAGGGCTCTAGGATGGCATATAAGGTAGTCATCAATGTCATTATCAGAGAAGGGCATTTAAGATAGCTTCCCCACTATCACTTAGATTGTTAGCTGGGGTCACCCTTGTAAGTCTCCGGACATTTCCCTAGTGCCACATTTCTTTTTAAACCTATAATGGCTCCCTCTATTATGGTATCTCTTTTCTTGCTCTCCTCTGTTCTCCCCCCGACTCAGTCTTCCTGCTCCCTCGTGTTCTCTTCTTTTCTCCTCTTATCCCCTTCTCTTTCTCCTAAACCCCTCTTCCCCCACACCCTGCTCCCAATTTGATCAGGAGATCTTGTCCCCTTCCCCTTCTGTGTGGGACTATGAATGTCTTTCTTAGTGTCCTCCTTGTTTCCTAGCTTCTCTGGTGGTGTGGATTGTAGGCTGGTGATCCTTTGCTCTATACCCATTTTGTCTGCAAGCTCCAACTAAAAAGGAGATCTCATTTTGGTTTTGAAAAGGTTTTACTCCTAGGCCTCACACACTCACAGATTATTCACTCTGATACTGGATTGTGGGATTTTTCTCAAGGAATAACTGCTCAGTGTGCCAGATATTGTTTTACTTTCTATTACAGCAACCTTCCCAAGAATGCCAGAGAAATGCCAGGAGTCAAACCTCTCCACGACTTTGTGCACCTCTGACTAATGCCTCACCTTGAGACCTGCAGTCAACCTTCCTAATTGCTAAGCAAAAACAATACCATACACAGAGAGAGTAAAGTTAGAAAGTAGAAACAGAGGAGAGCCCAAAGCCAAGGTCAGGAAGAATAAATATATCATATGTATTCACAAGCCACAGGGGATTCAGAATCAGGAAATGGCTATAAAACTTCAGTCTTGGCTCACTAATTAGATTTCTTCCTCCAAGGCTCTAACATGTCATGCCCAGGAAGACAAATCATTGCCAATAAAAAATTATGACAGGGTAGGTTGCAGAGTGATTGTTTACATCTTCTGTGCTTTTTAAAAATAGTCTTCTGAGCCTCCAGAAAAACACCATCTCACATGTCTTCAGGGCTCATGCTCATGAATGAATGACAAATTACAACCATTAATATTAAAGGTGGCGTCTGCACTAAAATGTCCAGAAAGTGTGAATGTATATAAAGTTATCTATTATTTTTTCTTTGAAGCATTTAGGGATGGGTCAGAATCTTTAGTAAGCTTCATATCTTAAGGTTTTAAGTCTGTGATCCTTCTGCTATGAGCCAAAGGATATTACTTCCACTATACTATGTGAATTAAGACAATTGTATCTGTGAGGTTTTGTTGTTTCTCTACTATCCTTGTTCAATTCCATGTCACTTGGAGCTTGTAGAAGGAGAACCAGGATTTACTTTTGTTTAATGAGACGGTCACCTCTTCTGGGTTAGTGTGGTTTCTTCAGTGTTTCTTTTGTGGCCAGAGAGTCATGAATGAGATATGTGATTGTTGTCTACATGTTCGCTTTGTAAAAGGAGCTCTCTGTGTTTTCTCTGGTGGAAGTCTAATGAGCTCCCCATTGATGGCAGAGGCTTTCCTCTCTATTTGGTAACACTGTGGTTGCCCACCTGTTTTTACCACCACCTATATATAAAACTGATGCTCAGAGATGCTGCAGCAGACATTTCAATCAAGCTCTGTCACTGAAAATGTGTCCCAGCTCTACCCTCTTTTAATGCTCAAGAATATCAACAGTTTAATATGAAATCCAACCCAGTGATAAAAGAACATATGTCTGTAGTAGTGACATAGTATTGTAGAAAAAATGAAGTTCTTGGTGATGTGATGGTATTTGATTGACTTTACAGGTTATGGTAATTATGCCTTCAAGTCTTCCTGCAGTAGGAACAGCATCTCCAGCATCACTTCAAGGAGGTTTGATGATGACATCAGCACACCAAGAGAAAGATGTTCCAGAAAATATGCACTGATTACAGTGCCAGACCCCCATGGGAAAACATCAGAATATCTGTTGTGTAGGTGTGCGTTGTGTGTATAAATTCAGTTTAATTGGTTCTCTACCAGAATATCAAATGTTGAACAAATAAATCATGTGATTAATGGTAAACAGCACTTGGATTTTTTAGCCATACTCAAGACAGTAAAAAGCATAGAAGCTTTGACAATATGTAAACAGTTATCATGGAGATGTGTAAAGTCACGCCTCCATGTTAGTACATACTTCGCTGATTAGTGTTTTCCATTATTTGACTGCTTTATATCTGTTGTCAAGTACACAATGCTTTTTGTTTTCTTCAAGAAGTTTAGGTGTCTTGTTTCTCCCTTTTTCCTTGTAAAATGGAGTAACAGTATCAATCTGTTATTGTATGTAAAACATATTATATGTATCAAATTCTTTTCATACTCTCTCTCTCATTCCTTCCTTCCCTCCTTTTACCCTTTCTCCATCATTGTTGTTTGTATCTTAATGAAATTCATATCCAGTGCTATGAAAAGACTATAAGATATATTACATTTGTCAAATATTTACCGAATACATTTATCTTACTACTACAGTACAAAACCTTTCAAATAAAGTGAATTAAAAGTGGTGTATTCAGTGTCCCTACTTTCTATTTAGATGCAATGTCAGTGGAATGTGACCAAGTATTGATGTCAAGAAATTAAATAAGGTGTTAAATACTTTGTATTTCCTTTTTAGTTCTTAATTTTCTTTTTTTTCTTTTCTTTTACTTACTATTTTTTCCTTATTTTAAATATTAATCCCAGTTCACTCTCCCTTCCATCCTTCCTTACCCCTCACATATCCCCATCCCATCCCCTATCCACACACCAGGGAGGGTGAGATCATCAAAGTCTGTCAAATCACTTAGGGTAGGGCCTAGGCCCTCCCCCATGTCTCCAGGCTAAGGGAGTGTCCCTTCATTAGGAATGTGTTCCCAAAGTCTGTTCCTGTGCTACAAATACATCCTGGATCCATTGTCAGAGGTACCATAGACTTCTCAGGCCTCCTAAATGAGACCCACTTTCAGGGGGTCTGGAGTCAGTCCAATGCTGGTTTCCAAGCTATCAGTCTTGGGGTCCATTAGCTCCCCCTTGTTCAGGTCAGCTGTCTCTGTGGGTTTCTCCAGCCTGCTCTTGACCGCTGTGCTCATCACTTCTTCCTCTCCACAACTAGATCCCAGGAGTTCAGCTCAGTGTTTAGCTATGGGTGTCTGCTTCTGCTTCCATCAACTACTGGATGAGGGCTCTAGGATGGCATATAAGATGGTCATTAATGTCATTATAAGGGAAGGGCATTAAGGTAGCCTCTCCACTATTGCTTAGATTGTTAGTTGGGGTCATACTTGTAGATATCTGGACATTTCCCTAGTGTCAGATTTCTCTTTAAACCTATAATGGTTCCCTTTATTATGGTATGATGGGAGATGTCATTCTGTATATGTTTCTCATACTGGTTAATGAATAAAGCACTGTTGGCCAATAGGAAAGCTAGATAGGCAGGACTAGGAGACGAGGAGGAAAGAGGAAGGAGGAAGGAGTCAAGATGGAAAGTCTGGAGAGAACATAACTGCCATTCCTCCGCTCTCGGTAAGACCATGTAGAAATACATAGAAACGAGTTAACACTTAAGACAGAGCTAACCAATAAGAAACTAGTAACTGGCCAACAGAATTATATCATATACAGAGTCTCTGTGTTAATTGGGGCTGGCGCAGCAGTGGGACCAGACCAGGCGGCGGGCGGAAAAACCATACTCCTTACAAATGGAGCCCACGTGGCTAATAAGAACTTCCACTGAAAATTTAAAAAAGGGTTTTGGAAAAAAAGAACAGAGACAAGCAAGGTTTCTTGGTAGCAGCATTTTTCTTGGTTTGACTCTGATTTGAGAGAGACAAGCAGATATTTGCACGGCTCCTTTAAGGGAAATTTCCTTGACTCAGCATAAGCAGGAAAAAAAAAAAAAAAAAAAAAACACACACACACACGGCTTTAAAAAAGCACTGCTAAAAATTTATTGTGTAGGAGAGCTGGCAATGTCATTGATTACATCTCCAAGCCAACAACATGCTTGCTAGATGGCAGCGCAGACCAAGGCAGTGGGCACAGCTTTCATTGCTGGCGGTAAAAGTACCTGCTGCCATCTTTGGTAATCCGCAGCAGAAACAACTATGACTTTCATTTCAGCAATGTTGTTGTTTACCAGATAAAAGACTCATGGCCAGAAAAAGATAAAGATTTACAGTAAAGACAGATTCGTATTAAGAAAAACCTCTAAAGGTTTACAGTGTGTTTAAAAAAAAAATATATAGGCTTGGGAGAGAATAAAAATGGTTTTAAAAAGACAGAGAATAGCTGGGTGTGTCAGCACACGCCTTTAATCCCAACACTTAAGAGACAGAGGCAAGCAGATCTTGTGATTTCAAAGTAAACCTGGTATACAGAGTAAATTCCAGGACAGATAAGAGATACACAGAGAAACCCTGTCTCAAAAAAATAGAAAAGAAACAGAATAATAAAAAAGCCACAGATGGAGAGAATCTAGATACTGTACAGTATTATATTGTCTTTGTATTGTTTGACTGCTGAGGAAACAACAACTGTTAAAGGAAATGCTGCTGGATTAATTCAATTTATATATTTTAAAAATGCTTTGACTCCAAAATTTAAGTTCAAGGACAAGTTACTGGGGAAAAGGATTTCTATTTTTGTTTCCACAGAAAATGAAAAGCTATGGATTCCTTCCAGACTAATGGGGTTTGAGCAACCAGACCCCCTGAAACAGAGTACCAGGTGATCCTATATTCAAAACAGCTGGACAAAGCAGCCTTGTAGACTACAGCCAGGATTTCTTCATCTTCTTAGGATTCCCCCATGACAGCGCCCCCTATCAGCAGGAGGTAGTTTGGAAAGAACGACGCCCAAATTCCTAAATATTGTTTATAAATGTTTGTTTTCATTTAAATGGGCTTGGTTATAAATGGTTAATGATCACAACCAATATTCTTTTTAAAGATAAAAAGGGAATTATGGTATAGATATGAATACTTTGTTTTGGAATGGATTTTCATTTATTGATACAATTTAAGATCAATAAGGTGATATGTATATTTCTCCTCTTGTTTAGGTATTGTGTTTATTTAGCTCAGTTATAAATGTAATGTATAATGTAGTACAGATTATAGATAATTACCTATGATAGTTAAAGCTTAGAGTTTAGTTAGGGTTTTCAAGATACACAGAGATGTATTTAAGATAGATAGGAATTCTTCAAACCTTTCAAAGACCTACAGAATATGGCATTTAAAATGGTTTAGGGTTTTTCTTGACAATGAGGCACAACTGCTCCTGGCAACACCACTTGCGGCAGAGATGAAGATGGACATTGAAGAAATTTGTTATGGAGTTTACTTCCAATATGGCAATACTAGCCATTTGGACAAGATACTGCTCTTGTCTGAACTGTTTGACTTTATGCTGTATAAACTGGACATGCAGGACCCACAGAAAAGTGACTGCTGATTCAAGATGGACATTGCTACAGGGTTCCTGCTTCATGGAAGAGTATGCCAGACAGTCTGTGGGACACAGAGAAAAATGAATGACAAACTGCCAATACAAGAAGACAGTTTAAAGTTTCCTACTTTGCTGAAGAGTCTGTTAGACACTATGGCCTATGGGCTGAAGATGGAAGATTACAGAAATTCCAGTGACTTGCCAGGCAGTGAGTTGTCTCTGTCATTTCTAGAGTTTATATACTATCCTTCTGTGGTCTTTGATGGAGTTGAAGACAGATAGTTATGGTTATAGTTTTCCTTAGTTAAGCTTAAAGATAAGTTACATATAGGACTTTAACTCACAAAGATAAAATATATGATGGGATATTTTCTTAAATCTTGCTAAATGTTAATGGACTAAATAGTGTTAACTGTGATTCTTATTTGATAACTGTTATGTGATATATTTTGGTATGTTAAGGTTAAAACCCTTCTTTTTATTTTAGACAGAAAAGAGGAGATGATGGGAGATGTCATTCTGTATATGTTTCTCATACTGGTTAATGAATAAAGCACTGTTGGCCAATAGGAAAGCTAGATAGGTGGGATTAGGAGACGAGGAGGAAAGAGGAAGGAGGAAGGAGTCCAGGTGGAGAGTCTGGAGAGAACATAACTGCCATTCCTCCGCTCTCGGTAAGACCATGTGGAAATACATAGAAATGAGTTAATACTTAAGACAGAGCTAGCCGATAAGAAACTAGTAACTGGCCAACAGAATTATATCATATACAGAATCGCTGTGTGTTAATTGGGGCTGGCGCAGCAGCGGGACCAGACCAGGTGGCGGGCGGAAAAACCATACTCCTTACAATGGACCATACTCCTTACAATGGTATCTCCTTTCTTGTTCTCCTCCATATTTCCCCCAACTGAATCTTCCTGCTCCCCATGTTCTCCTCTCCCCTCCTCTCCCTCTCTTTCTCCAAAGTCCCTCCCACTTATCTCCTGCCCCACCCCTGGCTTTCAATTTGATCAGAAAGTCTTGTCCCTTTCCCCTTCTGCAAGTGACCATATTAGGGTCCTCCTTGTTTCCTAGCTTCTCTGGAGGTGTGGGTTGTAAGCAGCTGATCCTTTTCACTATATCCAAAATCCATATGAGTGAGTACATATCTTGTTTGTTTTTTGTGACTGGGTTACCTCACTCAGAATGGTTTCTCTTAGTCCCATCCATTTGCTTCTTTTTGATTGGAAAAATCTTTCCCAACCCTTTACTCTGAGTTAACATCTGTCTTTGAAGTTGACGTGTATTTCTTGTATGCAGCAGAAGGGTTGATTCTGTCTTTGCATCCATTCTGTTAACCTGTGTCTTTTAATAGGTGCGTTAAGACCATTAATATTGAGGGAAATTAAGGACCATTGCTTATTAATTCTTGTTTGTTTTGGATTTGTTATTGGTGGTGGTATTGTGTGTATATTTACTCTGCTTTTTCTTTTGGCTTCTAGTAAAGTATTATTATCTATTGTCTATGTTTTTGTGAGTGTAGTTAACTTCCTTGGGTTGGCGTTTTCCTTCCAGAACTTTCTGTAGGACTGGATTTATTGATATGTATTGTGTAAATCTGGTTTTGTCATGGGATATCTTGTTTTTTCTAATTATAGTGATTGAAAGTTTTGCTGCATATAGTGGTCTGGGCTGGCATCCATGGTCTCTTAGTGTTTGTAGTGTATCTATCCAGGACCTTCTGGCATTCAGAGTTTCCATGGAGAAATCAGGTGTAATTCTGATAGGTCTGCTTTTATATG